GATAGGCTCTCAACATAAGTGAAGAATGCCAATGCTTATTCGGAAAGAGCTATTCTTGTATGTGCTTGCATGCTGCTTGATATGCAATCAAAAATTACAACTGTCAATTAAAGCCTGTGAAAGTGCTTGGAAGAGCAACTGAAAAAGCAAATGAGCGGCTTACGTTTTACTAATTATATTAGCTATCAATTGATGTTTTGTTTTTACTAGTTCTAACATGGATCATGTCAAAAATTGCCAGACTTTTCATGTTCATGGGAGAGGCTGCTTGGAGGACTAGACCGTCATAATGGAAATATTATATTTCACAATTCCACACCCTGCATTCATAGGAATTCCATTAGCTATGGAAATTTTGATCTAAGCAAGCGCTATATCAACAATTGCAACCCAATACAGTCATCCCTTTAAAGGCGCCTCCAGACTGTTGCTGTTTTTGAGTGGGATTCAATCACATATTGGCAAACTCAGGTTGTGCAATTACAGTGGGAAGATCTTGTGCAAGAAACCTACTTCCCCAAAAGATCAGACTTTTTTTGCAATAAAGAAAATGATGGGGAAATGCGGTGGTGTGGGGTAACACTTTCTCTGATGTAACACCATCTAGTCTTCCCACAAACCAATCGGAGTGAATGCTCTGTAGCTGATGTCTGATCTCCCTGCAAACACATCAGGATAAATGTAAACATTATTATTATCATCATCATCACCATCATCCACTCTTCATCACTTTGTCTCAGGGAAGGGCGCAGCAATTCAAAATATTGAAAACAATTAAAAACAAATCAGACAATATTCCAAGTACACAACGTTCCAAGTGCCATCGCATCATAGATTTGTGCAATGGCTTTATGATAATGGCAGTTTTATAATTGTCAGATCCTTTCCTAATAAACCCTAATATGGATTTTAAAATATATGTATAGTGTCACAATGGGCACTTTCCAGTCCTTCAGTATGGAGGCTCATCTTAGGGACAAGTTACATATTTTTTTTGTTAAAAGATGAGCAGTTTAACACTGTAGTTCTTTAAGAACTTTCAGGAAGATGTCATCTGAACACAGTGATTTTTCCATTTTACATTTGTCAATATCACCTTTGTCCTTTATCACCACTATTTGCCTCAATTCCTCCGATTCCCTTCTTGAGAAAGTTAGTTCAAGCACAAGTGATCTGCCCTATGTCTTTCACTGTGTAAACAGAATGCAGAGAATTCATTCAGCTTCTCTGCAATGTCCTTGTCTTCCTTTAGCACACCTTTTACTCCTTGTTGTCTAAAGGCCCAACCACCACCTTAGCCAGTTTTCTCTTTCTAATGTATTTAAATATTTTATTGGTGGTGGTCTTTATGTTTAAAATGATGTGCTCCTCAAATACTACTACTACTGCTGCTAATAATAATAATAATAATAATAATAATAATAATTGCATCCTTTGTTGTCTGCTTACATTTCTTTTGCTAAAGTTTGTGTTCCTTTTGGTTCTCTTCATTTGGGCAAGACTACATTTTACTGGACCACAATTTCTTCCACTCTTCTTGAGGCATGACTTCTCCCCTTAGCACACTGCTTCACTGGACACCTTTTTAAAAAGCTCTCCCAACCCCACACATTTCCTTCCCTATTTCCTTTGTACTAATTCTTCAAACCCCATTTTTCCTCAAGCCCATCATTCACTAACCTCCCCACTTCCTGTGGAGATATGATGTAACCAGTAGCAGCAGAAGTGCCTTGATCTTATCCGAGCATTTTACTCAATCTCTGCCAGGAGATTCACCACCACTGCAAAATTTCACAGAGCTTTAGGTTATAAAATGATTAGCCATAGTTTTGGGGGCTTTTTAACAGTGTGTATTGCTTAGGCTGTTCTCAAAAGCAGTGCTTTTATCTGAGTTTTCATTTTTCCACGTCTGTAACTGAAGGAAAAGATATAGTGAGAAGATAGTACATCCAATATAAAAATGGCTCTTTCCCATTACGCACCTCCCTGTAACAAGTGAGACATTTAAGACTCACCTGTTTCTGTGTTACTTGAGAAAACACCATTGTAGTAGTGAAGTTTGAAATTAGAATGTCATAGAAGACTGATGCCTTTAAAAATTGGGAAATATTTCTGGTCACAAGTGGAGTATGCTTACCTCAACTGCAATCAAATACCTTAAGCATACTGAGCAAAGAGTTTTGTGGTCGTTACAGCACTGGATTTCATGGACCAGAGCTATCTTCAGTTGCATGAAGTGTGATTCAGTTTTCAGGTATACATACCCTGGATGTAATGGTGTGTTTGTGTGTGTGTCAGTGTTGAAATTAAGTGTCAATGGGATGCAACAAGTATAGCCTGACAGCTCAGTCAAAGCTCAAATATATGTAAAATGACCCTTTGCAGCAACAGTGGTTGGTGACAACAGAATTGTTTTAGCATTGCTGAGAAAATTCACTCCTATAGTGGAACAGGATACCATTATCTCTACTTAGACCCAAATGAATAGAATTGAATTTTTTAATGTTGCAGTTTCACACTGGTTTTTCTCTTTGAAGTTCTTTTGTTCCTTTACAGTGTGTGTGTGTGTGTGTGTGTGTGTGTGTGCGCACATGTGCGCATGACTATCTGAAACGTTTACCTACTAGTCTGTTGTATTGGGGCCTCTGAGTTTAAGTAGGTGTTATAGCATATGGATCTAACTGCATGCAAACACTTTTGACACTGATTTGTGTTACATGGTGCTTCTTTCCACTGCTAATAAGAGGCATGTCTCACCCTGCCTACAATGGATAAGGGCACAGGGGAGTTACAGGGTAATTATGAGGCAGTGGTTGTGGGGGAGAAAGGAGGGAAGTGGGCGTTACTAGGCAATTAGACGGCAAATCCCATTTAATTCCAGAGTAAATTCATGGTTGTTTCTGTCCTTTAACCACAATCCCATTCATGTGGTAATTACTTTGGGGTCCATTAAGTGCAATTACAAAGTAATCCACAGGAGCCAGTAATTACTCAAAAGTTCTAAGATATTCACCAATTAAAACCCACTGGGCTACCATTTAAATAGAAATGGTCACATGGCATTTATGAGTCAGGATAGTTCCCTGCAACGTGTTTTATTGTGCTGGCTTCTTCTACGAATGGGACAATGAGGCGATGGGTAGTACATAATCTACAGCAGCAAGTACCTCATTGGCCATTTCAGACCTGAGAAATCCAGCATGAATTATTTGTTCTGCTTCTTTTCTTGAGGATCACCCACCCTGTTCAGATGGCATCATATTCTTTGGGTTAAGTTTAGCTAGGAGCTTCTCTTGTCTATCTTCATCACTGGCTCGGAAATACAGATAGAGGCGTTTCTCCTGGAAATGGGCATCACTCTCTCAACAATTGAATTAAACCAGTTGGGGGTGAGGGGACACTATATTAGTTGAAATTTTCAATCCAAATACAGTAGGAGGGTTAACACACTCTGACCGCTGAAAAGCATAATTAATGTTGAGGACTTCTTGCATGTAACTCATGATATATCTCATTTCCCCTTGGAGAATTAGTGGTGCTTTCAGATGACAGCTATAGTCACTCAATGTGACATGTGACAAACATGGCATGCCAACACCACCATCCCCCAAAAATGTATTTAGGCCTGTGCCGTCCCCCTCATTCCTTGTTGTAACAATGGCAATAATATATAAAATGGCAATAATGTATTAAAATGTATTTTTCACACCATTGGCACGCTGCCGGTCTTGCATAGTTCACATATCCTCCTCCTAATGAGAGGGCATGTGTATTTCATCTTAGAATTATGTTTCAGTCTCCCTTCTGTTAGTGACTGAAAGTAAATGGAGCTGTGCTTTGCAAGACTGGCTTGTGTGGCTTTGCCCTCAAATAACAAATGGGTGAAGGGAGCCTGCCATAGCCTTTCCTTAAAACCACAGGTGGACAACATCGTGTCCTCCAGATGTTTTAATCATCACCACCACCACCACCACCACCATCACCATCATTTTATTTGTATGCCATCTTTCCACAAAAAAGAATGACTGCTCAAAGCAGCTTACACAGTGGCGGAGCTAGCTGCTCGGGCACCCGGAGCACATGCCATCCACCCAGGGGCGATCCGCCCAGGGAGGATTTTGTCACCCCCTCCCTCTGGGATGGCACCCGGGGCAGACCGCCCCACTGTCCCCCTTCCTACAACCCTGAGCTTACAACAAAGAAAACAAGAAAATCAACTATCACAAGAACAATTTCTTGACATAATAAAGCAATAGCGTAACAGCAAATATCATAACACCAAAGCACAACATTTCACTTGCAACAAGATTGCATCGTCATCTTAATTTTATTGGTTTTGAACTACAACTCCCATCACCCCTGGCTATTGGCCGTGCTGGCTGGCGATGATGACAGTTACTGACTTGCACAGCATTGGAGGGACGATGACTCGTTGGCCACCTATGCCTCTCGTTTTCTTTAAAGTAGCCATAACATAACTTACCTCGGCAGTAGCTGCTCTCTGCCCTTGTAGGCTACAGCTGCTGCTTCCCCTTTTCTCTGAAAACCAGGCAAGGCCAAGCAAGCTGTGAAGAAAGCACTCTGTTTGAAAATGCATTAAATAATTTCCTCTTCCTTTTGCTTGGTTTTAGAAATGTGCTTGAGAGAAGGACAGTGGTGGTGGTGAGTGTAGGATAGGCTGGTAGAATGCCTAGTCCTAGAAGGGCAGCTAAGATGCATCAGAGGGAGTAGCTCAGATAGGGATGCTAGGGGTCCAGGATGGTGGTATTACTAGAGGTCTCTGGAGCTTGGCTTGACTCAGGACTGATTTGTCTCCTAACAGGGAATATTCCAGCATTTCTTTGATATTGTGTTTCCAGACATGGGTGGCTGGATAAACATACTTGGAAAGCTCATCTCCAGTGCATAATGACTGTGTTTTTCCAACCCTTTGGAATGTGTCACACTCTGCTGAGCTTTTCTAGCTTTCTTAATGATGCCTTTGCTTTTCTCTCTCCCAGGGACCTAAATTATAATGAGCTGGTGGAATTCCCAGTGGCCATTAGGACACTCGGCCGACTTCAAGAGCTGTAAGGCATTTCTTTTGCTTTCCTCAAGGAAGAATTCTCAGAGATAATCTGGCTCCAGCTTTAATGTGGACGGAACTGCCATTCCAAATGCTAATGCGCATTCCTCTTTCACCAGGCCTCTCATAAATTCAGCATGCCCCTCTCCCCGCACTGCAATAAATGCCTCACGGATGTCATTAGTGCCAAATAGAATTTCCAAAGTTGTGGTACCAGTGGGCAGATCGCCATGGGGTGTAATAACTATGGCCTTTGGCCAAACACATGAGACTCGCACACAAACACACCTCCGCAGAGAACTACTGAAGGCCCACAGCACTGATGGGATGGGCATATTTTGCTGTGCCAGTTTCTGCAGCCCCTGCTGTTTTCACCTCTAGGGCTATGTTCCTTCAGAAGAAGCTTTGAGGCTCTAATTATTACCCTCAGTGGAGCATTCTCATTTTCCACCTCACTAAGGTCCATTCATTCTTCCAGGACATGGGCAATTTCTGGCTTTCCAGGAAACAGACGTGCATTGTGGGTAATAGGCTTCTCAGCCCTTAGGGTGTGTTCAGATGGTCCTAATTTGGGAGTGGCATGCACTGTCTCAGTGTTTCCAGTTTCCAAAGTCCACATATCTGGGGTGTTTCAGCTGCACTGGTTCCTACCAGATTACTGTGTCCCAGGATAGGGGTCTAGACTGTGAAGCTTACGTTGTTAGCTTGCCAAGAGCACAGGGGGTGTCTTTTGTACTTATTTGCATATATTCTGCTTACATTATAACTGCTGTTTGTGATGTCAGGTTTGACCAATGCTGCTAATTCAGTTTGGCTTCATTATATGGTTTTGTCCTATCTTTGCATCTCAAAAAATTGATATGCATGCACATTCGCTGTAAAGAGGCTAAATTACTTTGAGCTTCATAGAGAATTGGTGAAGTGCATATATTAAGAAATAAAATATGGTAATCATGGGCATGTGTCTGTTTTGCAGCATGTATGCAAACAACAGGAGGGAAAACATAAGTGGTGACAGCTTCTTGCCACATCTTCACAAATGCAATGGACTACAGTGAAGATTCACACACTATCCATGTAGTAAATTTTATGTTGTGAGAAAGCTAACTTCAGACATTCTATGTTTAAACAATACTTCTGTGTTCTAATCCTTAACCACCCTGGTGTCTTCTTGCTCGACAGGGGCTTCCATAACAACAACATCAAGGCTATTCCAGAGAAGGCATTTGCTGGGAATCCATTGCTCCAGATTATGTAAGGAATAGGAATATGAAACCCAAGATCACTGCATAACCCCACCATGCTTGTCATCAGGGAGCTCATCATAATTCCCAGGGCTCTTGTCTCTCTATTTCCTGAGGGAAAAGTTAAAGAAAGGAAACCAACACGAGTTGGAAAGTTGTACTCTAAATTTCCTTTACCTGTTTCTAATGCCATGTAATTTACTGTATTCCATCAGGGGAATGAAAAAGAGGAATCAACAGGTTATAACTGGAGTGTTTTCTTCATCCGTATCAGTGCAGGTCCCCTTTCAGCCACTGGAAGATAGGAAAATGTATGTGAGGTGCAAAGGAAACTCCTGAAGGAGCTGCCCAAATATGCTTTTCAGGCAGTTTTCCACTTTCGTTCATGGTGCTGCTTTTTTTAGAATTACTCTGTGGCAGGCAAAGCTTGTCATTAGCTGGAAAGACTATGTCAGAGCTTCATTACTGTAGAAATTTGACTAGGCAAAGGGTATTCTTGGGTCAGCTGGGAAAACATTCTTCACTTTTCCCCATGGTCTTAGACCACAGTGACACACCTCGTACCTGCTTTCGCCCTATTCCCCCAGATGTGATAGACTTCTATATCCCACATGGTGCAGCTCTTTTAATTCTATCTCAGTCATCTTCCTCAGTAGTATTCATATTAGCAACAGGGAAGAGACCAGGCCTTCCTTGCATATATTGGCATTAACTGCGTCTTCTCCTCTTCTACAGGACTTTGACCCGGGCTGGCATCCGTTTGCTTCCTGGAGGAATGTGCCAGCAGCTGCCCAGCCTACGAGTTCTGTGAGTTACAAACACGCTTCCCTTTCTTGCTAGGGCTCTTGGCAGGCATATTTCCTACCAACACAGGAAGCCATGGCTCCCTGTTGCTGACCAGTCTGGCACAGAAATGTACTGGGCAGCCATGGCACATTTTCCACCCTTCTGCTTTCTCCATTCCAGGGAGCTAGCATTAATGGGCTTTCTGGAAATCATATTGTGTCGCTTCAGTTCCATCTGTAGTCATATGGAACATCACTCTTAATCCCCAAATTTAATGAACACCAGTATCGGGACATATTGGGTTAAGAATATCGTGGTGATGAGTGGGTGGAAAAACAGGGCAGAGATTATCCAGGATTATGATCAAAGTTTGTCTTATGCACATATTGAAAGAAGTGCTGGATTGAAAAATTGCAGACACTGGAGTGGCATCTACAGCTCTTGCGTAGTCCTCAGCTAACACACAATACATTAAACTGTGGTGTTTTTCAGTTAGACGTCCCCAGATGTTGTTGGACTAGGGTTCCTATAATCCCCAGTCAGTGATCAGGGATTGGGACGTGGGTGGCACTGTGGGTTAAACCTAGGACTTGCCGTTCAGAAGGTCGGCGGTTCGAATCCCCGTGACGGGGTGAGCTCCCATTGCTCAGTCCCTGCTCCTGCCAACCTAGCTGTTCGAAAGCACGTCAAAGTGCAAGTAGATCAATAGGTACCGCTCTGGCAGGAAGGTAAACGGCATTTCCGTGCGCTGCTCTGGTTCGCCAGAAGCAGCTTAGTCATGCTGGCCACATGACCCGGAAGCTGTACGCCGGCTCCCTCGGCCAATAAAGCGAGATGAGCGCCGCAACCCCAGAGTTGGCCACGACTGAACCTAATGGTCAGGGGCCCCTTTTCCTTTTACAGGGATTGTAGGTGTTGTACTTGAGCAACTTCCTTGGGACACAAGGTTGAAGAACACTGGTTTCAAGTGATATAACAGCATCATGCAGAAGTATGCTTTATACCCATATGTCAACTTAGATAGCCACCAAGTAGTAGCTCTTGGCTTTTTTTGGTGAGTTGGACACAGAAAGAAGCTAAATTGAACAGAGGAAGGGTTGAATAATCTAGGGATAATATCAGGAAACTGGGCATATAAATGAATGAAAGGACTGGTGCCAAGCATGGGGTGGGTGCAAAGAGGATATTACCTGTCTCTGGGGTTTCCTGCTTCCACAGCTGCATAGCCTGGGGACACCCACTCCTTTCCTCAAAACCAAATACATTCCAGGAGGGCCTTCAAGAAGGAAGGCTTTGTTCTAACTTTCGTTGTTTTCCCCACAGTGAGCTCTCACACAATCAAATTGAGGAGCTACCCAGTTTCCACCACTGCCAGAAGTTGGAAGAGATGTGAGTAACTCTTGCTTCGGGGCAAGCTGAGGTGGAATCCCCAAGCCTGCACAACAAGTTAAGCAGTCTGGAGGTGGATAAACAGTCTGGAGATGGGTGCTGTAGCACAGGGACCTAATTAGGATCTTCCTGGGGTTTAATAGTGTCTCTGGGTTTCTTGTGCCCTGTCTATAACTTTTTGCATGAATGCTTGAAGCAGCACAGGAAGCTGCCTTATGCAGAGCCAGGCTGTTGGTCCATCTAGCTCAGTCTTGTCTGCTCTGGCCGGCAGTGGCTCTCCAGGGTTGCAGGCAGGAGCTTTTCCCAGCCTGACCTAGCATCGGTTGAACTTGAGACCTTCTGAAGGGAAGGCAGATGCTCCACCACTGAACATAAAATGGTTTTGAGGGATTTCAGGTTGAGAAGGTCAGGGCAAAACAGACCAGTGAGTAAGAGGGCACTGAGTCTCTGCTTTCCCAAGAGTTCCCTTCTCCCCACCCACATGGTATTCCCATGGTTGGGAGCACCAGCTGGTGACACCGAACCCTGAAGGCTTCATAGTGTGAGCAGATGCTGAAGAGGCCTGGGAACTGTTGGTATAAAGAAACCTTGGTGCTTGTAACTGCCGCCCCCCACCCTGCCTCCCTCAAGCACACATTTTATTTGAAGGGGACACTGCCGCAGGCCTGAGGCAGTATGCAGGGAAAGGGGTGGGTGGGTGGCAAGGAGCTGTTTTGTTTCTTGATCCACTTTCCCCTTGAAATCTGAACCCCTTTTCAAGCCTGAATAGAAATAAACCGTCATGGCAGTCCTCCTTTCTTCTGCTGCCAGTGAGGATGGAGATCTCTGTGAAGCAAGTCTCCCTCTCTCATTTCAGCCTCTCTGTCTTTGCAGTGGCCTTCAGCACAACCGCATCCACAAAATTGGAGCAGACACCTTTGGGCAGCTCACAGCCTTGCGCTCCATGTGAGTACAGCTTGCTGGGAAGCATCAGAGGTTTTTATTTTAGTGGATTAGTGCGAGGCAGTGCGCTCTGGGCATGATTGCAGATGCAGCCGTACAAAGATCTATTCAAAACAAGCCTGCCATGCCAGCCCATAGACACACAACAGCCCATTCTTGTGATGACATCTACCTTGCCCCCACCAACCGAAAAAAAGGAGCAGCAGCACTGAGTGGAATATGTACTTCAATGTGTTGGGCCCATCTCCAAGCCTGCAAAAGTACCAGATGCAGATGAATTTAAAATATTGTTGCAGAAGTTGGGTGCCACCCCTACTCTCTGCCAAGCCAGAAGCAAGATTCCAGGGGATTTCAGGCACTCACCCAGGGTTTGTGCTCCTTTGGAAGCTTGAAGATGCAGCGAAGACTGTTGTGGCTTTAATAAATATAATTCGTTCATCTATTTACACCTTCAGTCTGCATGGAGGGAGTCCAGATCTTACAGCATGGTCATTTCAAGAGGGGCTTGTCCCCCACAACAGCGCAGCACTGGAGTCAAAGTTCTCTTTCCCAGCCAGCCTTCAGCCAGGCTGCCCAAGATGGATCCCAGTCTCTTCTCTCCCCTTTTCTTCCCAGCACACCTCACTCCAAACTCTCTCTTTTCCTGACACTTCAGTCATACACCTTATCACCATAGCAAGCTCTGTCTGCCCAGGCCCAAGAATTCCTCTCAGATCGACCATCAACACCTTTTGTCATGTTTATGCCTCTATCCCAGGTGAGGCCCTGGCTTGGAAAGGAAGCTTAGCCGGTGTTCTTCCACTGGCCTGCAATTTTCCCTTCAACCCTCCAACTAATCAAAACCCTACCACTTATTAATTTCTAGGGTTTAGGGGTGTCCCCTTCAAATCTACAACAATATGAACACACACTCTATATCTATCACATGCCTCACACAGAGAGAAGACTTGTGATGTATTGCATTCCTCAGAGTTACAAGCATACCAGGAGCAAAAGATTATTTGTGCACCAAAACGTTTCAACCCTTTGGACTGAAAAGGGGGGAAATTAAAAATAAGTAAAAACAATGGTCCATCACTCATCTTTCCTGCTCCTTACTTAAGTTCTTGAACAGAGTCCTCTGTCCCAAAGCTTAGTCCCTAGCCCAATCTTGCAAACCTCACAGCCTTTCACTTTCTGCTCAGGCTGTTCCTTACACACCTCTCCCTGTTGAAGCTAGAGGACAACAGCCCCCTCATACCCTCCATGGATCTTTCAGAAGCTATATGCAAGAGCCCTGTTGTGTGACCAGCCAGCTTGTATTCCTAAGGCCCATACTTTTGAGGTTCTGCTGAAATAACAATCCACACCATACTCATACTAAATTCACACATGATAATTCCACCACCACCCTTTGGTGGGTGGGGAGGTCACAGTGCACAGAAAGGACAGGGTCAACCCTTCCTTCCCCAGGCACAACCTTTTCCTGAAAATGCCCTCCTGCGCTGCTATCATGCTTAAAAGAAGCTTTCCATTGGAGCCAATAGAAGGCTTTTTGACGCCTAATTGCAAAGGGGGGGGGGGTGCTACAAGCTGTGTGGGGAAGCCCCAGGTGCCAGATCCAACCCATGGGATGGTTGCTACCCGTCCCTAGAAAAATGTGGTTATCCTTTTTTTCCTGCTTGGACTTCCAGTGGGACGAGTTTTTTCATGTGTTCAAGCTTATTCTCTTCCTCATCCTCAAACTGTGCTGGCAGAGGGTGGGTCCGGTGGGAGGAGGAGAGTGAAAGCCTGACCAGGTATTAGGCAAAGGGTAGGTTCACAAGGAGGAGAGCCAAGGGTGAGAGCAGTAGTTATCACAGGACACAGGCAGAGGGTGGGGTGGGGCAGGGAGGAAGAGTTAGAAAGAGGGTTTTTGCACGGCCAGAGGGTGGGTCACAGAATAAACCACTGTAAACCCTGTGTCATTGTCATGGATTGCTTTGAAGTCATTTCTGCACCAGGTAAAGTAATTTTTAGCCCCACAATCCCCCCCAACCTGTCCTTTATTTTGCCCAACCAAAGGTGCCAACCCTAGCAGTTCCCCACCCCTGACTTACAGACTCTTCAGCATACTTTCTCCATCCCTGCATGTACTTTTGCCTTGCAGAGACCTGAGCTGGAATTCCATTCAGTCTATCCACATGGATGCCTTTGTGACCCTCCGCTCTCTCATCAAGCTGTAAGTTACAGTGGCAGGGATAAATTACTGTTGTTTAAGTCAAATTTATATACCACCCTCCCTTCCAAAGCAGGCCAGGGCAGTAAGAGAGGTAGGCATTATGTCAAAGGTATGCATTGTGTCAAAAATTAAATACCCCAAACTGAGGTGCTGCAGAAGAAGTTACCGTAATCTCCTTTTACACACAGCTAAATATGCTTTTCACCTGACCAAAACCTGATTGCTTATCCATTTTCAATGTCTAAATTAAAAGGGTAAAAGTGCTATCACTTTATAATATTTTTAACACCAGGCAAGTGAAAGTTCTTAGTTCTGCCAAGCAGTGAAAATTTTGGAATTGATGAGGAGCATCAACATCCCAAAGGCCTTTCTCGGCTCCACTGTCCCTTCTTGTTTAAACAATAATATGCCATTAAATGCCAAGGGTTGGTTCTATTACAGAACAGAGTTTAGCTGAAATAACCCATACAGCATGTTCTGTTACTGGACTAAAACCATGTACTTATTTTCAAGGGAAAATCAGGTGAAAAGAAAAGAAACGTATTGCTGGCAGATTCCCCTTAAAAGTGGCAGGCTAACAGTACATGGTACAAAAGCCTAGTTCCCTAATTTCTAGGGATAATGGGGTGGGATTTACCTAACCAGCCCCAGCAGTGGAAGTCCTGCGCATGGACTGCTGCTGGAAAATGAGGCTTTCCCTTCCTCTCCTCCCCACACACCTTCCCATGCCCCCTGAAAGGGGGGTAGTTCCATCTAGCAAACGAGAATGCCAGATGGAGCAATTGGAAGAGGACGATATTGAATTCCACCGATGGACTTTTGTCCAAAGTAAGTCTAAATAGCATGCATAGGGACAGCAGGCTTCTGGACGTCATTGTTTGAGAATCTAGGCATGGACCTCTAGATTCTAGGCATGTGGAAGCTAGGGGAAGTGTCAGTGTCCTTATAGAATACTTGAGACTAGGGGGTGGATTTAGGGGCACGTCCTGCTATTAACAAAACAGCAACTGAGCATCTAGTGCTGCAGCAATAAAACTGCTAGCACATTTGCAAAGCTAAGCAGGGTCCTATATGATTTCAAATTGGATGGCGGGGGCTGTTTGTTGAGATTCCTGCATTGCAGGGGTTTGGACTAGATGACCCTCAGGTCCTTTACAATGCTATAATTCTATGAACTGCTATGGAAGAACCACAAAGCAGGATTGCTAAAGTGATGGGCCAGGTGTACGTGTGTTTCTTTGGCACTGCATCTTCCCATGGTCTTATTTTGACATGTCTGTGCATAAGCAGAAGTACAGGAAGCGTTCCTGGGAAAAGTAGGTCCTTTTCTTGTGGGGCACGCTGAGAACACAACCCACACTGGTCCCATAGTCATTGCAGTTGGCAAGTGTGGGGCCAGGGTAGACACAAACTGCTTGAGCCACTGGCCTGCAGGGATAAATGGGCCACAAAGGCCTATCTGATCACTATGCTGATGTGATATAAATGTCTCACCGCACTATTATATTGCAACGTGTGGGACAAAAAGGAGTGCATGAAATCTGTCTGTGGGCCTGAGGCTATTCGTCTGGCATTTTGGAGAAAAGCCTCGCTTTTTTATTGTGTGGAAAAGATAAAAGTGATCGTGCCTTTTGCCGGCGAAGCTAACAGAGCAACTATACTGAGAAACAATCAGCTACACATAGTGAACTTTGTTGGCCTCTCTTTCCTTAGTGATAATTCAACCTATACTTGGAATCTTTCTGCCATTCAGCAGAATAGCTTCCCCTCATACATCCTCAGTGGGCGAATCACGTATTAAAGCTACTTGCTGGCTAGCCTGGGAAGAATGTATAATATAATAATGCTATTTACATATTTTATTACACTCTTGTACCATTCTTCTTCCCAGGTAGCTCAGGATACTTTAAAAGATCCTACCCTTTCCTGTTATAGCATCACAGCCACTCTTTGAGGTCACCAGTTAACTTGATTAGCAAAGCAGTGGTTCTTTACCTTTGGTCTACCTGGTCCTAGTCCTACACTGCACCATACCCTCCAACATTTCTCCGGTGAAAATACAAAATGCTACTACGGAGAGCAAAAGAGGCCCACACCTTCCAGGATCTCTGTTTGGTCAGTTTCTCATTGGGAGACCTTATAGGGACCATGTGTATGCTTCCTTGGGTTCCATGATGGAAGTAAAGTGGGCTTATAAATGTTAGAAAATAAATAGATAAAATAAACAAGACTAGTGAGAAGGTTATAGGTTGAATATCAGAGAGGAACGAGAAGCCACCAAGATTCACTATGTGTAGATGCTTATTTTCCTTGGCTTCATGTCACATACAAACAGGGATTCATTGTGAATGACCAACACTTGTTGCATAATTGCTAGCTGATAAATAAGGCAACATGAAACTATGAGTCATGAAACTGGCTTGAAACCTTACAAGGAGCCTTGTCCATGTAGCACTAAACCATGATTCAGTTTGACATGTCATGCAGCCGCTGTGTATGGAGTGCTTTAAAGCACTATATATTTTCTTACTGGTAACATCTATTTTTGATGGAAAGAGATCTACCGTATTTAAAGCAAATACATCTCCTAAAAGTTAGATTATTTACCAAGGATTATGTGATGAGCACAAGTTTTCTATGAATAGTTGCTGCCTTAAAGATGCATGTTTTGGTCAGTGGTTGCCATTTTTACCCTAGAGAAATGCAGCATTCTTGGTTCTTTCCTTTTGGGGCTCTGCTGCCACATTTTGCTGCAAGAAGACTACTTTCCCATGTAATGTGAGTTGGTGTTTGGCATCAGGGTGTAAATGCACGCTGTGTCTTTTCTCCAAGCAGCCAAATACCTGCCAATTCGTAACAACTTAACCTGAACAAAGGTGTGGGAAAAGCAGCCGCCTATTGCGTTCTTTTCATTTATTTATGTAACATGATCTATTGATTTTTAACAATATCCCAACAACTCACCCAAGGGACTATCAGGATGGTTTAACAAAAATATATTTAAAAAGATGCGGCTCTCAAAAATTGGGTTATAAATCCTTTAAATAAACCAACCTTTTTTTAAGTTTTAAAAAATCCTCATTAAAACAGTAATGATATAAATTCTAAATATCCTGAACAAATGTATTTTGAGAAGCTCATCTCTTGGGCCCAGCACACTTCTCACTAACCTATACCACTGTCCCCTCCACCCACCCACCTCCTTTTTCTCCAATAGAGATTTGACTGACAATCAGCTGGTTACGCTGCCATTGGCTGGATTGAGCGGACTGACTCATCTGAAACTTAAAGGCAACCCTGCACTGTCTGAATCCTTCACAAAAGAGAGCTTTCCCAAGATGAGGTGAGCTTTGTTTCTGTTTTCTGGCTTCTGGCTCTGTATGATTGGACTTCGTTTATTTGCTTTGATCTGCCTTCCGCTGTCCGTGTTTACTAGACGTTTCCGTGAATGCTCTTGGGCCAGAGGTTTGAGCAAGCGTGACTTCCTGCTCACACTCTGAATCCATTGCTGCCTTGAGAAATCGATGAGCCACTGAACGTCTTGTCGCTGGCATCATCCAAGCTCACACACAAGCAGAGACCTTGGAAGCAGGGGGCTCACGTCTGGGGCTCAGCAGAGCGGAAAACCTTTGCAAAAGCCAACCTCAGTTAATGACATCCAGCCTTCCCACAGTAAATGCTGTTTGTGTGGCCGTGTCTTGTCTGCTGTGGATTAATGAGCTGCCTGGAGGGATTAGTAAGCAGCTAAGACAATACTCGGTAATGTTCAGAAAACAATGGCAGAAGTGCCAGCAACATGTGGTGTTCAGCACTGGTCCTGCTCAGAGTAGAACCACTTAAGCTAATGGACATGACTAACTTAATTTCAACACGTTCATTCTGAGGTGGACTTAGCTAAATACAACCCTTAGTATTTACAGTATGTGAATGGGGAGTCCGTGGCACTCCGTCCCCAGTTCAGTGCCTTTGCAGTACAGTCGTACCTCGGAAGTTGAACGGAATCCGTTCCAAAAGTCCTTTTGACTTCCAAAACGTTCAGAAACCAAGGTGTGGCTTCCAGTTGGCCGCAGGAAGCTCCTGCAGCCAATCGGAAGCCGCGGAACCCATGTCAGACATTTGGGTTCCAAAGAACGTTTGAAAACCGGAACACTCACTTCCAGGTTTGCAGCCTTCGGGAGCCAAAATGTTCGACTCAAAAGGCGTTCGACTTCCGAGGCACAACTGTATATGGATCACAGCATTCCTTGGATTCGAAACATTATCAGAGACTCTTGAGTGCTCAGTATTGTACTCAGGCTCTACCAAGTTTATGAGTATTAGTCATGAGATTAACCATTAAGATGCAGACAGCTGATATAGTTGCAGCCTTAAAAAATGGATAGACCTTTGTGTTTGCAGGAAGAGACAGGAACATGGGGCAGGAAGGAGGAAATACCAGAGGAGCACAAATATTGGGAGACCACCTAAATAAACATCTGGGACCGTGTATGTGCTTGTTCTATACCTGTGTAACTATATTGGCTTCTCCCATATAATACTCATAATTAAAGTGTGGTGAAAGGTCTCTTCCAGGAATCCCTAGCCCCACTCACAGAACTACAGTCCTCCCAAGTTCCTTCAGGTAACTAGTAGCTCTATATTCTTCTCTCCAGGGTCCTGGAAGTGCCCTATGCCTACCAGTGCTGTGCGTATGGAGCCTGCAGCAATTTCTTCAAAATGTCTAGTCAATGGGATTCTGAGGATATGAGTCCTGAGGATGAGGACGGCCACAAGAGGACCTTGGGACTGCTTACAGGCCATACTGATAATCACTGTGAGTAAGACCGATTTCCGGGTTGCAGTCTAACTTCTGCTTGCAACCTGAGTTTGTTAAATCAGAAGTTAAGCTGGGGGAGGGGGGGAGTGCAGTCACTAAGAAGAAAAGCAGGCCTGTGCTCTCATTGTGTTGGAGCAAACCGTGCACTTTCCTGGTTACCCTAATATTTTGATCACTCTGAACTGGCAACTGCAGCTTCCTGAGTGCAAGGAACAGAAAGGAAGACTGGGGTGTATTTCAGGGGGGATTCTGTGCAGTAGGGATCAAAGTGGGCCAGCTTAATCGTTGTGGCTGTTGCATTGAGGGGGTCTGCTGCTCGCTTGGCTGAATCTTTCCTAGCAGGGGGAATTCTCTGTGACTGCAAGTCACATGCAGAAAGCATTGGTGGAAATACACGGATTCCCAAACCACAGCTTGGATTGTTTGTTTGCTGCATGACATGATTGTATAAACACATGGCCCACACACACTGACAAGACCGGGAGACTTGAGTTGAAATGAGAAATACATTTGACACAGTCTACCATGGGGAGAGGAGACTCGTCATCTCTTGATCCTTCTGAGACAGCCTCCTGGCCTATATTATAACAGCCTTGTTGCTTCAGTTCTGGAAAAGTCAAGGATACCCTTCTCACATTTTGTAAGGCTTGTATGGGGCAGGCCACCACCTGCAGTCTGCAGTTACCATCGCAGCCTGGTTGTTGATGCTGTCTGTTTTTTAATAGAATTCATATTTAAGCTTAAGTTTAAAGTAAAGGTAAAGGTACCCCTGCCCGTACGGGCCAGTCTTGACAGACTCTAGGGTTGTGCGCCCATCTCACTCAAGAGGCCGGGGGCCAGCGCTGTCCGGAGACACTTCCGGGTCACGTGGCCAGCGTGACATCGCTGCTCTGGCGAGCCAGAGCCGCACACGGAAACGCCGTTTACCTTCCCGCTAGTAAGCGGTCCCTATTTATCTACTTGCACCCGGGAGTGCTTTCGAACTGCTAGGTTGGCAGGCGCTGGGACCGAGCAACGGGAGCACACCCCGCTGCGGGGATTCGAACCGCCGACCTTTCGATCGGCAAGCCCTAGGCACTGAGGCTTTTACCCACAGCGCCACCCGCGTCCCTATAAGCTTAAGTTTACTGTTCATTAATAAGTAGTACCAGACACTTTTTTCTTATTATTCATGCTCATTTTTTACGCTTCACTGGTAAGCATTTATCTTTTTGTGGGAATCCTGGGTGTACATTTCTTCCCTTTCAGAAAAAATAAATAAATTCCATGGAAGGTAGATTTTCTACAACTCACAAAGATACTCTCAGGGTTGTACCCTACCTCCTGCCACCTTCTCTTTCAAAGAGAAGAACTTGGAGAAAGTTGCTTCATTACTTACAAAATATATTTTGAATAGCTGGTTGGTTGGTTGGTTGGTTGGTCACCCACAATCTGATTCCTGGGGAGCAGGGTTGGCAATGCTTGAGTGGACTGTTTTGCTCATGGCTCTTCCTGGAAAAGCTTTGCATCAGTCACAGTAGAGGAGGTACTCTACTGTGGAATCCACATAGTGGGTTCAAATTGCCACAAGGAATGGTCCCAGTGTACCTTTTATAATGTTATGCTCCTGGGCTTGGCCTTGCATCCAGCAGTGCAGAGAGTAGGGTTTTCCCTGCAAGTTCAGTGGAAGCTCTGTGTGGTTCCTTTGTACAACCAGCTGTTTGGATGGCAGGATGTTTGTGGGAAAGAATATGCACTTTTTTGAAGTTTGCCCAAATCATGTTCTTGACACCTCCAGTAAAATACACAGCAGAGACTCAGCTGTCTAGACTGCTGGGCAACAGGTCTTACTCTTACAGGTGCCAGCATATTCCTAGCCTAGCTGGGATGGAACTGGGCTTTCTGCAATGAGGAGGCATCAGTGATGTGCTGTACACCTCACAGCCATTCAACCAAAGTTCCTTAGGGAAATATTTGTCATAAATTCCATTCTGTCCATGTGTGTGACTATTCAAGGCATGAAAAAAGCTTACAGAAGAGAGAAATATTTAATACTACATTTGTTGTAATATTCCCCCCCCCCCAACAAAGGCTCTCTGTCTCTAACAGCTATTTGACAGGCAGAAATTATACAGGGGCAGCTTTCTCCATTGCTGTCCTTACATGCAGAGGATCTTACTTGTAGGGAAGAAAGAGATCTTTATTCCAGCAAGTAACAGCGTAGGCTCAGCAGCAGACACACGGCTCAGGAGTCACAACTCAGGAGTTCAGGGGCAGGGCAAGAAGTTTAGAACAGGATGGAGCAACAAAGATGCCCCAACAAGTTTCCACACCCTACACGCCATGCTTTTCAAGGCAAGGCATGGCATGCTCAGTCATAAGACTAGGTTGCCTTGCAGGAATGTCAAGATGGCAGAGGTGGCACCTGGTGTGATGTGTCTGTCAGGAGCTTGTCCTACTCTTGAGTAGGACCCTGGCAGAGACACATGCCCGACTGGCATGTCCCCTCCCTCCTGGTTGATCGTTCGGGAGCTTCAAAAGCTTTCTTCTGCCTGAACATCACAACGACCAATGCCAACAGACATCGGCACACTTAGGGATCCACAGAGTCTTCGCAGCTTGCATAACAGATCTCAGCAACTCATAGATAAGAGACTCCTCCTCCTTCTTATGGAAATTCATAATGACATATCGGCCAGAGTAAAATTCGGCCCTCTGGGAGCTCTTTCTGATTCTTTCCCTCTGAATAAAGGGGTCAAACAGGGTTGCCTCTTGGCCCCTTTTCTATTCAATTTCTATATCAATGACATCGTCACAACTATGAAGGCCCTAAATCAATCTGCCCCCTCCTTACAACAGCTCAAGATCCCCATATTACTCTATGCGGACGACATGGTGATACTGTCATTAACCAAGCTGGGCTTAAACAACACGCTCAGAGGGCTCATGACATATTGTGATACCAACTCCCTTAAAATTAATTTCGCCAAAACCAAAATTCTTACTTTTGGCACGAAAACTCGGAAGTCACTCTGGAATTTTGAGGGCCATTCTATTGAATATTGTTCAGCATTCAAGTATTTGGGTATCATTTTTCAGCATGGGCTTAGCTGGTCAGCTCACCTAAATACAACCATCCTGGCTGCCCGCAGAACCATCAAAGCCTTGGAGAAATTCTACTATGCAAAAGGCGGCCAGCTGGTTCCACCAATCAGAAAAGCATTTATCAGCAAAGTCCTCCCGATGTTACTGTATGGGGTTGAAATCTGGGGGTGGAATTTAAAAACACTACAACGGCTGGAGATTCTACAAAACTCTTTTGCACGGAAGATACTGGGTCTCCCCAAGGGCTCGGTTGCAGCACAGTTAAGAACAGAACTGGGCCTCCCCTCCATTGTTGCGAGAGCCCACATTAGAATTATTAGCTTTTATTGTAAATTAATCAATGCCCCAGGTTCCCTACTAGCCAGGCAAGCCTTTTTAACGTGTTCTCAAAGCAATAAATGGTCCAAGGCCATGGTGACTATTACTGCACGCTACTCTCTCCCAAATCTTGACTCGCTGTCCTCTTGGGACAAACATAAAATCCGGGCCTGGATTCTTACAAGAGACGAGGCCATGGACCGGGCACAGTCCACCTCAGCTCGCCTTTCCATGTGGCTCCCTAAAGTGAAAGTGGTAAGATCACTTGCCAACTACTTGATAGACCTGACGGAGCCCAATTTGAGAAGAGCGTTTACTATGGCCCGCTTCCATTCTATACCCATGGCCTTCCTGCAGGGGATTTACTCTAAGACCCCTATTACCCAGCGTCTATGTCCATGCACAATGAATGAAGTAGAGGACTTCATACATTTCTTTTTCTACTGCCCTATTTATGAGCCAATAAGCTCCTCCTCTTGATCCCGTCCACCATTACATCTAAGGAAGACTGTTTGAAATCGCTTCTTGTGGACGCAAATCCCCAAATCTCACGTGGGGTGGCAATCTTCATAGTGCAGGCTCTGAAACTCAGGGCTACTCTGACAGGGTAGCGTGCCCTAGACCTGGACCTGTTTTTAATTCTTTTATTACTTTTAACTCAATATGCTGAGTCTGTTCTGGGGCCATTTTGTGCTTTATATATATCCGCATATTAGTTTTTGGCGCTGGCTACTATATCTTTGCATTATTGTCTTCGGGTAACTTAAATGTCACTACGCCAGCCAAAACACCTGAATTTTGCTTGGTTGCTTGTCTCTAGTTTGTCTTTTTTCTTTTTTGTATTGTCTTATTTTGCTATGGCAGTTTGCTAATGCAATAAAGGTTTGAATTTGAATTTTGCATAACAGATCTCAGCAACTCAGCATTTTGGCTAATCTACTTATTTTACATATAAACACGCATGGAGCACTGCAACATGGCTCCCTCTCTCTCTAGCATCAAACAGCAAAGAGAAAAAGAACAAAGGACAATAGTCCCACTTCACGGAACACAGTAACACAAACATCCTGTCTCCGTCACTTCCCACTCTGTGGAGTTAAAACATGCACTGTCATGTGATAGACAAAAATCCTATGACTGCAATCATGGAGCAGGAATTCTAACAGTGACAAGACTGTACCCTCCTGTTCTGCCTCCCCAGCCCTCAGCTGTTCAGAGCCCTTCCCAGCTCCACTGAGGCTCTCTGCTCCACAGGAAGTTCAGGAAGAGAGCGTGTATCCTTACTCCCCTTTCTGAAGTAGCTCAAGTTGGGGTGAAGATATCCTCCTTCCTCTGAGGTTCCCACCATTCAGTCCCAACTTGTCATTTTTTCTTCCTCTTCCTCCTGCATTAGAGCCTGCCAGTCTGGGCCAGATCCTGACCATACTGTGAGACTCGTGGCAATTACTTTGTCCCATGATGAGGAAAACTGTCCCTATAGAATTCCTGCATCTGTGAAAAACACAGGGTTTCTCTTGTGAGGGAAAGTGCCAAGCCTCTATTAAAGGACGTTCCTTCAGAGCTCTCTCTCAGTGCCTAGTGCTGCCCATTCAAAACCCTATTTAAAACATTTACCTTGGTAAATGTTTCCAGCAGTGGTGCGCTAATAATATAGATCTGCTCAATATCCATATCCAAGGGCCTGGAGAATTTAAAGAAAGAGATTGTGTTACACACAAAAAGAAATCTGCAAAACAGAGCTAAACACCTTAATAGCCAACAGAGCAACTACTCAGGAGTGGGGGAACTTTTTCAGCCAGGCAAGCAAAAGACATTAGCAGAGCGCAAGGACACTTTCCAGCCAGGCAAAAGTATCCAAGGAAGGTTCAAAGCAGGATCAGTGAGAGGCATGGCTGGGGCGGGGATGCGGCCTTAGGAGATATTATTTGATGACAATGATGATAATTAAAATTTGTATTCCGCCCTTCATCCGAAGATCACAGGGTGGTTCACAACATAGAAATACAAAATGAGAACACAAAATACATAATAAAAACAAGAATAAAAACCAACCAATTACCCCCTACCCACAAACACATTAAAAGGACGTAGAATGTTAATCAGCCTGGTTTTGCCCTGGGGAGAGCATTCCACAAAGGGGGAGCCACCCCAGAAAAGGCCTGTTCTTGTGTTGCCACCCTCTGGACCTCTCGTGTAGGAAACACATGAGGAAAGGCTTCAGATAATGATTGCAGGGTCCAGGACAGTTCATATCAGGCACTAGGCAAAACCCGGACATTTCAGTTGGCTCCTAGAAGTCTTAGAGGAGGCAGCATACCTATGCTCTTGCTGAGATAACAGACTTTCGTATTTAAGCTATGGAAAATTCCCTTTAATGCTCAGCAAAGTACAACCATTTTGGTAGATTCTTTTTTTAAAATAAAGAAATCTGAAAGCACAGTAAATTATAAAATCACATATAACGACAGTACCCCATGATGCTTATTATAGAAAAGAGCAAAACACATTACCTTATCAGAAATACAAATTTGTATTCTGTAACAGTGTGCAATCAATTCCCATTCCTGAAACTTATTTATCTATATAAAAATATTTATTTCTGTGTCTCTTAAGGGGATGGACCACTGGGTTTGGGCTACTCAAATCCTCTTTAGAGTTCTCATGATTTTTCATCATCACTGTTAATTTAATAACTGCTAATTGCTCCTATAACCGTAATCGACCTGGCTTTTGGCTTTCCTTCAGAAGTCTAGCAAATAAAATTCTGGCCAAAGTAAGTATATGTAGTATTTGTGCCTGACATTTTTCTGGAACGCTATGCTTCACAGAATTCAGTAGACCTGTTAAAGGAAACTTTGGGAAATGTTTGTTAATGACGCCAGCCTCCATAGACCAAACTTTTCCTGTTCTGCTTTTGGGAATTTCCACTACATATGCTAGAACTCCCTTTTTCTCTCTTTACAGAACCAACATGTACTGTCCTGCCCTTCTACTCTTTGACTGTATCTGATGCCATTGCATGGCCGTCCAACACAGTTGCCTTTATAACATGCAGCCACCAAAAAAGTTAATTCCTCACTTTAAAAAAACCTCACACCTCATCCAGACCTGTGTTACATACTTGGTTTCAGTTCTCCAAATAGACCTGCCTTCCTTGAAAAGGCTTCTTTAGTAACATTTGATAAACTTTGCGGAATTCCCCCCCCCCATTTTTAACATTTCAAATTCAGTTTTCTCCGGGTGTAACTCGTGTTTCTGCCCTACCCTATGTATAACAGGGAGTGAGAGTGTTCTTGTGCTTGCGTCCTGCTTGTGGGTTTCCTACATAAAATCATAGAACTGTAGAGTTGGAAGGGACCATGAGGGTCATCTAGTCCAACCCCACGGCAGTGCAGGAATCTTTACCCAACATCTTGTTGGCCACCATGAGAACAGGATGCTGGACTTGATCGGCCATTTACCAGATTGAGCAGGCTCAAAATTAAGGGCTGACTTTTTGGTTTTGAATAGGATGTTGTTTTTTGTTATTTACCCCACCTTTTTCCTCCTCGTCGTGTAAGTCATAAACCATCATGTTCCTGAGGTTTATTGTTCCAGTTATGAGATTAAGAAACATAGGAATGTATAACAAAGATGGCTCTCTTTCCATTTTAACAGCAGTGACTTTATGAAAACAAGCTACAGGTCTGGCTCACAATGCAAAGCTAAGCATTAACACCCCTGTGATGTTGGTCTTTCTTTCTGTATGACTTTCCAGATGACCTGGATATGGATGATTTCCAACTGGAACTTGAGGATTCAAAGCTGCACCCCAACATCCAGTGTACCCCAAGCCCTGGTAAGAAGTAGTTGTGAAGCACAGCGCTTAAATCTTTAAATAAAAGGATGGTTGCTATACGTGTTGCAAGGGAAGCCAGCAAATACTATTTCTGTGGTGGCAACAGATGAGTGTTACATACATCGCTCCATTCAGAATTGTGTTCTTTTGTGGTTGAAATATGCAAGCACGGAATTGGGAGTGGGTGAAGAATTCAGCAAATTTGTAATCCCCCTTTTTGAAAAGCTATTTTTCTAGTCTTCAATGCCACAAAGAAAGTGAATGTCAATGTTTGTGAAATCTCAGGAGGGGGTGAGCAGGATTGTCGTAGCCTGGGGCAGTCTTCCGTGCCCCATCTAGCTCTTTGCCCCACCCCACCAGCTCCATAAGCGGAATCAGAATGAAAAAGAAGCGTTTTGTTCTGTGAACATTCTGCTCCAAAATCCTGGTTGCAGCAACTGGTTTTAAAGCTGTAGAGCTGCATGTACAAGACCTGCCTTCTGCATTGAGCCTCCTTAAATTGCAGCCATGATGTCCCTCAGCCTCTGCTTGCTTGTTCAGTAAGTGCCTGTTGCTTCCTCAGATATAAGTGGAGCAAAATGGTCAAATGTCCTAAGAATCTGCCTTATACAAAGTCAAACCTAGCTCAGTAGTTCTTATGTTAACAGGAGATGTCAGGGATTGACCTTGGGACCTTCTGCATGCAAAGCGGATGCTGTACTATGGAGCCACAATCCTGTACTCAGCAGTGCCTTGTGCCAGCTGCTCTGCTGCCGCATCCAGTTTGTAATGTGTCTCCTTCCTTCTTTTCTTCCAGGCCCCTTCAAGCCCTGCGACCACCTGTTTGAGAGCTGGGTCATCCGCCTGGGTGTCTGGCTGATCACACTGGTCTCCATGCTGTGCAATGGGCTGGTCATGGCGGTTGTCTTTGCTTCGCCCGGCTATCTGTCCCCCGTCAAGTTTGTCATTGGCGCCATTGCTGGAGCCAACATGCTGACGGGCACGTACTGCGCCATCCTGGCCTTCGTGGACGCCATCACCTTTGGTCACTTTGCGAAATACGGGGCCCGGTGGGAGACGGGCGCAGGGTGCCAGGTGACGGGCTTCCTGTCGGTGTTTGCTTCGGAGGCTTCCATCCTTCTGCTGACCCTGGCCGCTGTGCAGTGCAGTCTCTCGGTGTCATGCATGCGGACCTACGGGAAGGTGCCGTCTTTCGGCACCGTCAAGGCAGGTGCGCTGAGTTGCCTGGCGCTGTCTTCAGTGGCTGCAGCACTGCCTCTCTTCTCCGTTGGGGAGTACGGGGCATCCCCCCTCTGCCTACCCTACCCACTCCTGGATGGGAAGCCTTCCATGCTGGGGTTCATGGTCGCCCTGGTGCTGGTCAACACCCTCTGCTTCCTCATTATCACTGGAACATACATCCGCCTCTATTGCAACCTGCTGAAAGGAGAGTTTGACTCTGTCTGGGACTGTGCTATGATCAAGCATGTGGCTTGGCTCATTTTCACCAACTGCCTTCTCTATTGCCCCGTGGCCTTCCTGACCTTCTCTTCCATGCTCAGCCTCTTCCTCATTACCCCCGAGGTCATCAAGTCTGTGCTGCTGGTGGTGCTTCCTCTGCCAGCCTGCCTGAACCCCCTGCTCTACCTGCTGTTTAACCCACACTTCAGAGATGACCTACGGCTCCTGAGGCAGAAGAGCCAGGCCCGGGAGAGCTGCGCCCAGTCCTACGTGTCAGAGGACACAGAGAAGAGCTCGTATGACTCTACCCAGGCCCTGGTTGCTTTCTCTGACATGGATCATATATTTGAGGCACCAGACATCTTCAGAGTGCCTCCTAGGTGCTCGTCGGTACTAGATGCCTACAGCTACCCATCAGTGACTCTCATCCCACACCAGCAAAAGGCAGGTGCCGGAGGACACGACAGTGGCTTCTCCACTCACCTGTCCTACCTTGCTGATGATGAGTTGCTCATCGCATCGGAAAGCAGAGACCCGGCAAGGAGCAGCCTTAGGATTGCCTTGTTTTCCACACCGCCTGCACCAGCCTTCACGTCTCACTTATAAACAGTCGTTCAACCTCCCAGACCTGGTACACATTCACTCTGTGAAAAGCCTACGCAAGAGCCCACCTGTAGCCACCAACAGCTTTGGACAATGGCTGTTCTGGGGAAAGGGTGGCACAGTTTATTGCTTCTTCTGGGGGGGGGAGGCCTTGAGAGCCTGCAAGGTGCTGCCAACTCCATGTATCCTAGCTTACTGGAGCATTGTCTTCTGCTCTCTTGCCACACCAGTGTGTAAGGTAGTGTGGGTCCTTCAAGGGGAGACGACGACCAGGGGACCATTGAGTTAAAATCTTCTGACACACAACAGCAAACCAAAATGTAGCAAAACGAGAAACAGCTAACCAACTATGATGCAGCTTCCCAGGATACATCTGGTCCTGCTCCTCATAAATTATGTGGAGCAGGCAACAGAGTGCTATCCCCAATTAACCTTGCCTTAGAATGATAACAGATGACAAATAAGGCAGTGACTGAGCTGCTGTATAGACATGACAATGTCTGCCAGGGTAGATCGCGCAACACCAGCTGAACATATGAATTGCACCGCAGTCTTTCCTCTTCATTCTCTGTAATGAGGTGTGCCATCAGTTCTGTTCTACAAATGGAGAAGAGGAGCTGCAGGTAACATACTATTCTTTAACTTGGGATGCTTCAGTTTCATTAATCCTGGTCTCTCTTTTTTAGCAATGATGCACCTATCCAGGCTGCAGATGTCTAAAATTTACTTCTAAGGCACCTAAAAATGAAGTGAGAATCCCGGGCAGTGACAAAGTCAGGATTAGATCTCACCAAGGTTGTGCCATGTCAAGAGCCAAACCATGCCATATTTTAGGTTCACCATTTAGGGTAGAATGACCTGCTTGTTTCTGGTGTCACTGAAGCCCATAAATGCAAAACATGAGCTAAAATGCAGTGTAATGAATTTGGTGTGTTTCCATAATCTTTTGGAACTCATGTAAACTCATCCCAATGAGCACGTAATGGATAGATATTCTACCTTGTAGCACCCCCTCATTTTTAAAAAAACTGCTGGTGTTGCAAGGAAGAAGACTTGAGTACAGTGAAAGACTGAAGAGAAGAAATTTAAGGCCCAGATATATTCACCATAACCCAGAAATCCCCAACATAAAAAAGTCTTCTTGCCCTCTAAGCCAAGCCTGACAAAGGGCAATTGCAGCTAAAGCCCAACCATTTACAGATTCCAGAATCCAGTTGCATTGCTCCGGTTCCGCAATTCAATTATCCTCTCGCCTTCTTTGCAACTTGCAATTATCCTCTCACCTTCTTTGCAACTTGTATACAGAAATCATGAAAGCAAACTCACATCTCTTGCTTTTCCACCTAAAAGTACCTATGCTCTCAGTAAGAACTATAGTCCTACTGACAGATGGGAAACAGTGACACAGGACTAAATCTTGATTGGCACAGGAACAAACCTTAATTGAAGCCACTTGAAGGTTAAGATGTAACTTGCTGCTTGATGGATCTTGATGGATGCTCCTAGAAAGAGCAAGATACAGAAATTATCCCAACTGTTTAACAACTACAGCTTGCTGGAATTGTCCAGGTTAATTTCCAGGCTGGTTTCCCCCCCTCTTTTTTTCTGAGAAGGCATAGTTATCAATTAATAACTTGTCAAGGGAGGTAGGAAAAAATTCCTGTCGTAGGGGATTTTATTGCTAACATTTTAATACCTTGCAGAGCACACTATCAAGCATATAGTCTAGACTACATATGCAGTTCTGCTTTTAGGAAAGTTCTTAATATTTTCAGGAGAGAAATGTAGAATGAAACACAGAGAAGGATGTGGAAAAATGTTACAAACACACCAGGTGCCTTTTCCTTCAATCCCCTTAAGGATGATTCTGCTGGAATAATTTTGGTTACTACAGTGTTCTGGTTGGGTAGAACTCCAGAACTCTTGAAGTCCCCACTTGCTACTTTGGCTTACTTCAATACAGTGTATGAATGGAAGCTGGCTTAAATGTCTTGGGACGATTCATTATGGCCTAGAGAAAAAGATGTAACACATATAGGGGTAAGCCCTTTTGCTGCTCAGCTTCTCCAGAACTAGAATTAGTATTAACCATCCATACCTGGAAAGAATTGTCCTCCTTGGGGCTGTAAGTTTGAGCGCAGCTCAGTCAACTTTTAGAAATGCAAAATTCCTACAACTTGTAGCATCAATACGTCCAAAATCAACCACAGGAAGTATCAATTTAAATGCCTTTACACACCATGTTTGTTATTGTCTGTATATACACATTGCCATATATGATGGCATACGATGCTAGCATGAGCGTGTTTGTATATTATGTGTATATTTATATAGAGAGCTATATAGCCATTTGCCCTCTCTTTTTGACCTTGTGTCATCTTTTTTTTTTTTTTTTTTGTATATTGATGTGTAAAAAGCACTCTGGAAGACCTTGTAGAAAATTAAAAAATTGTTAATTTTAAAACCATGCTTTATTTTGTTTCTATGATTTAGTTGGGGAACCACAAACCCACAGGCTTGTTCCTACATGCTCATTCCTTGTGACAGCTTGTGTCTAGGCATAATCTTATCACAGATGTATCGCCACAGATATAAACTCAATGTTTTCCAGCTGAGTTGGTTCATGTGTTCAGTTGCCAGTCATCAGGTTTAAGAGTTCTCTAGTGACATGCATGAAGGTGAACGAGATCCAGTGTGTATGCTAGGAAGTACCAGCATTATTTAACATCACAGCAAGTGTGGTTTGGGAAATATGGGGGGGGGGACAAGACAGACATAATCTCAGACAGAAAGTGAAAGCCTCTCTTTTAATAAAGGAGTCTGACTTGACAGCACCAAAGACAAACTAGCTGCTGGAGCATTATATCAACTCTTCAAGAAAACCCCTCCCCACCCCCAAATCTTATCTGGGTCTTGCATTTCATGCCTTTATAGGAAAGCTCAAGGAGATGAATGAATGAACACTCCCACTTCAGTGACAGTCGGCTTTAAAGAAGGCTTATACACAATTTTGATAGCCTGTGACTTCAGATAGCTGAAGAACAAAAAGGTACATCAAAGTTGTTGTTTTTAAGACAGATTAATATAGCTGGCTAACCCACAAGGACTGGAATGTGAACTAAGCTCTTCAGAGTTCCTTCAATTTTTGAAAAATCTTAGTAATAGCATAGTCATTTGAAAAAACACACACAGTATAATGAAATACTGAGAAGCTCTACAATTCTATACCAGTCCAGATGGTCTCAAATTCTTTATTTGGAACACGTTGTGAAAATTTAGATGTGTATACAGTTGTATGCTTGGTCTGAAAGTTTGGTTGCTAAATTGGGATTTTGTCAGATTTGACTTTGCTATTTTAAAAAAAACACAATTGAACAAAAAAAATTGATGCAAGAGACACAGCTGGGACAACAGTCAGGTAGGGACACAAAGTCTGAGAAAGTAAAGTTATTCGCGTGGAAGACACACCTTGACACACATACCCTATTTAGGCATGATGCATTTTTTCACAGCCTCTTCATATGAAAGCATGAGAAAAGGGATTAAAGTTTTTTAATCATGAAAACTGAGATTCTTTCCCAGAGACAGTGTTTCTCATCTACCCCATGTCAGCACTACGATGTGGCGTATGTGGCAGTGGAGGAAGAAACTCAGGGAACTGTGCAATGGACAGCATTCCCTCTCCTCCCCATCATAGCACTGCAATAGAGAATGTTTTCTTGCAAATGCACCTCTCTGAGCTTAAGTTTTGATTATATGATGCAATCGCCTACTCTCTAAAATTGTGTTAGGAAAATGATGCAAATTACAAGGGGTTTTCATTTAAACCTGCCCTACCCTCACTTTGAACTGTGATAAGTGCTTTGTTTCAGCTGCCCTGAATACCGAATGAATGATATATGTTTATTGTGCAAAGAGGCTTTTTTAAAAAAATCTGCTTCAGTGTCTCTTTGGAGTGTTAAAATCTTAGACTGTGCCACCTGTACATAAATTTTGGAATTCTATTTTGTGATATACAGGCAACCCCTGATTTCCGCAGGGGCTATGTTCTGGGTCATCACGTGCTATGGCAGAGCATGCATAAGCCCGCCTGGGTTGCCACGATGTGTGCATGGTCACACATCAATCGGATGCACATAAATCAGTAGCTGCCTGTGTATCTATTTGTGTGTGCTTGTATATACATGCACACACATATACACATACTTTAATGTAGAAGATTCCCAGCAAAACTGATTGCACTAAAATAATTTTAATTCCAGTTAACAATTTAATCTCAGTTGCTGTGCTCAGGTCCTGCTTGCAGGCTTCTGCAGGCATCTGACTGTCCACTGGAGGAACTGAATTCTGGACTAGGTGAGCCATTGGTCTGATCCAGGTTTGTCTTGTGTTCCCATGTTCTAACACCCCCATCGTGACCCAAAATAATTTATTACCTCTGTTTCCCATACATTCAAATGGCCTAATATTGTTTTCCCCTCTACCAGTGTTTTGGCAGTTTGCTCACTAGGAGGATTACTTTGGGGGAAGAAAACCCCAAATATTGACATATAGGCAATATAGTCCCTGCTGGAAGGTAGCAGCAACTGCCTTCTGTCAGAGAAGACAAAATGTGATAAATTGTATGGCTGATAATTTGCTGGCGTGCGCCTTTGCCAAAATACGTTCTGAACCCATATTTAAACCTACTGTATAATCTGTTTAGAAGCGTTATGCTTAGGTTTCTTTTCAGAGTTGGAAAAATTGGGATTAAAGTCAAAACACAGTTTCAGTCCAATTTTCTTCACATCCCAGTTCTAATAAAGACACTGTCCAGTCTTCTCCATAGGCACGTGCTCAACTTTTCCTCAAACACACCTTGCAAAATGACTATTTAAAAAATACAAACTTACCCATTTTTAATTCAACGTGGGGATGCAATGGGAAAGTAGATGGAAAGCTTGGTGCATTTTTTGTTGCCTGTGAATAAAATTATATTTCTGAAAATGTTATATATCAAAAGAATTGCTTACTTTGGTGGAAGTATAACAGTAGCTATGGGTGTGTACAGTTATCTTTAGTAATTTATTCAAAGGTATGTTCGCAACTGGCTGTACTTATACTGATTAAAGACCTGTTCATTTTAGCTTTGACCCAGAATAGGTGTGCTTCTCTAAGAATACACTAATGCATTTTGTTGCATGTCCCACTTTTACTACTAATTACCTAAAAATATTATATTAAATGTAACAGGTTTAGTAAAGTGCACTAAAGGTTTAGCAACATTGGTAAAGAGCAGCGTCCACAAGGAAAAGCCAAACTCACGCTGCACTTTTACAGTTAAACATGCCTAATTGTTTTTAGTACTGCTTCTGTCTTCACTGTCACACCTTAACTTTAGAGGAGGAATCCAGCACACTAGAGATACTTCTCTAATTAAACAGTGAGGGATTGAAACCTGGGCATGCAAACCATGAGTTCGTCCTTGGAACTGTGCATCCTTCAGACCAATGCTCAACTTGCTGAAGGTGTCTTCAAACTTACAAAGCTGCCAAGAAAGGAGCAGATACATAAAATATTATTTGCACTCATCTGTAGTCCAGCAAATGAGGCCAAAGGTACACAACTTTAGCTTCCAGAAATAGTTTAAACACCATTCATGACCATTAGTCATAGCAGGACTAAATATGTTATTTATTATTCTCTCATTGGTGCCTTCATTCAAAACATGCACAAAATACAGCAAAATACACAAATTAGACAGTGAAAGACAAAATTGTTGTAAAGAACTTAAGAAATCTGCAGAAGTAAAATAATATGTTTTTAAAAACAGACAAGTGCTTCACTGACACAGCCTTAGAGGCATTGCATATAACGAGTAAATAGTACACTAATTGCAACAAGTCTACATAAGAGATGGAAAGGAACACTGAAACACACACAGAGCTAGAGACCGGGATACTGCACGACAGCAAAGCTTCTATGTTTCTGAGCAAGGTCTTTTGGACAATCCACTGATACTGCTTCCTTTCCTTTTCTGGGAAATGTGAGAATCCTTGGGTGGGTTGGCTGCACTTTGGTGGTTCTCTTCATCGGTGGTTTCCAAAGTCTGGAAGAACATCAGAGAAAACCAAGTGAGAGAGAAAAATATTGGTTTCTGTGTTCACACTTTGCTCAAAGGACCAATGCTTTCATTCACATCTTGCAAGTATGCAGACTCCCCAAGTTAAGACTTCAAAAGTCATGGGGCACATTTGTTCTTTAAAGACACAAATCAGCTAATTTCTCACCCTCTTACCACCCCACACAGAATTTCCATAGATCCTCATTATACAGCTCACCACATTTAGTGGCCTGACAGCCAAACTTGAGGTGCTACAGAAGAGAAAATGTGCCTTTTCCTCCATCACTGGACTGTTCTTACGTGTTCTGGGAACTAGAAAAACTTTTTCAGAAATTTGTGCAATACAATATGCATGGCTCTGCAAGATTTGTACAAGCTGTTCATAGATCACTTCCATAGCACAGATATACCCAGTACTTTTTTTCTGGGGGCACTCAAGGGTATGCAGTACCAGCATATTTTTGCCTATAAGAAAAGCACTGGATATACCAGTTTTTACAAGCAAATTCTAGGCAACATGGAGATGCTACCTCCAAACAGGAATCAGTTCTTTCTACAAGCAGGCCAAATTTATCCAAAGCTGAAATTCTGCTGACAGCCTAAGAAGAATCAGCTTCTTCACATTAGTTTAGAAACAAGAAAGTGCAACTATGAAAGAAGCTGTATTATTTAAGGTTCAGATGCCCCCAAGTGTTTCAGCTGTGTAATTTCATTCCAATTTACCTGGAAATTTCAATAAAAGTAGAAGGCATAGTTGTGAATTACTGAAGACCACCCTGTGCTTTATTGGGGCACACAAAACTGTTGAAGATGACACAGGATAATTTATACAGAGCTGATTGCTACATCTACTTTCTGCTTGAACTCATTGCTGGTGCTGGGTTGGGTGCTCTAGCATGGATGGCTCCAGTAGTAAGTGCTCCCTCAAAGTTTATTTCCTGCTATTCTATTCACTCCCCAGCTTTCAGTCACTGTGGAATACAGCCCTTTATAGTATGCACTAAATCTTTGCTCCTCTGAATGGTGGCATTTGCACTCCCAAACATGTTTTGCTTGGGAGTTGCCCTGAGTCCTTAGCTCCTAAATATAACTAAGACCCAAGTCTCATTTGCCCACCAGTCTTTTGATTTGTCCATTCTATGCTAATAATGAGCAACTACAACGAACAGAAAGTTAGGGATCCACTTTTTGAACAGTTACAGAAGAAAGGCAAGGAAATCAGGGTTCTAAACCAGATTGAATAGGGAGCCAGCCAAATGCTTGAACAATTAAGAGTTCTAAAAAGTACAGGAAGCCTACAAGAGAACAGCTGTCTCCCACTACAGACGATTGCCCTGAACACTTGGAATACAGAAACAACCATGCAACAATGGGGGGAGTCTAAAGGCACAGCCCCTTTTGTAATGGCAGTGCCCCTACATGCAAGTAAAGACTGAATAGGGTCAAAGTGATGGAGGTGGCAGAATGGACTGTACCACTTCAAGTGGAGGAAATTATTATTACTTATTAAATTTCTATTCCGCCCTTCATCCAAGGATAACAGGGCAGTTTACAGCACAAAAATATATACCATGATAACAAACGAAAACTGTAACACTTGCAGCCTAGGGCTTTTGGAATGGTAATCCATGCTCACTGAAGAAATGGAAGAGTAGTGCTTTCAGACAGAAGTTACAGTAGGAGGTGAAATATCCTATCAAGCATTAAGATCATAGCCAAAGACTACATCCCCATCATTTTGAAGTTATCAAGCTCTATATGGAAAAACTTCAGAAATGCACTGTGAGAGGAATCAGGCATACAGTGGTACCTCAGGTTACATACACTTCAGGTTACATACGCTTCAGGTTACACACTCCGCTAACCCAGAAATAGTGCTTCAGGTTAAGAACTTTGCTTCAGGATAAGAACAGAAATCTTGCTCTGGCAGCGCAGCAGCAGCAGGAGGCCATATTAGCTAAAGTGGTGCTTCAGGTTAAGAACAGATTCAGGTTAAGAACGGACCTCCAGAACAAATTAAGTACTTAACCTGAGGTAGCACTGTATATGCAGAATGTCAAAAGACGATCTCTCAGCCTGCCCTTAACCATGCTTTGCCATCTCCTCTCCACTCCTCAAATGGCCCAGTTTGCTTGTCTGGAATGCTATAACCAAATCTGTGACTGGGAAGAGGCCAGAATAACTACAGTCGTACCTTGGTTTTCGAACAGCTTAGTTCTCGAACGTTTTGGCTCCCAAACACTGCCAACATGGAAGTGACTGTTCTGGTTTGCGAACTATTTTGGGAACGTCCGACAGAACTTCCTGCAGCCAATCAGAAGCTGCGCTTTGGTTTCCAAATGTTTTGGAAGTCAGACGGACTTCCGGAATGGATTCTGTTCGACTTCCAAGGTACAACTGTACACTGGTAGACTTGTTTGATGAGGATAGACCAGGGGTCTGCAACCCGCGGCTCCGGAGCCGCATGTGGCTCTTTTACACCTTTGCCGCGGCTCCGGGGCGGATACTAGCGAGGGGAGGAGGCGCATTGTGCGCCCCGACACTCCCCACTGTGGCGGGCGCTGTACTGGCTGTGACGTCGCACGGGGGCAGTGCGTGCATTAGTCACGCACCGTCCCGACGTCACCTTCCCGCCCGCTGTCAGATCGCGGCTCCGGAAATATATTTGTTTTAAATGTCACAATGGTTTTGCGGCTCCCAGTTTTTTTTTTCCTTCGGAAACGTGTCCAAGTGGCTCTTTTTGTCTTAAAGGTTGCAGACCCCTGGGATAGACCTTCATCTCATTATCTTCATCTCATTATAAGCTTATCTCCTTCTAACCTGACTCTGGAGCACAATGGTTTAAAGCCCTGCAGGTGAGCAGCTTGACATTCAGGTTAAAAGCACTCATCTTTGAAAGTGTTTACAGTGGTTAGTTCACAGGAAGGGTATTCACTACCCTCTATGGAATCCTAACTGATTCTTTTTGCAGGGACCCTAATGGTCCTTGCATGATGTAGGCGAATGATATTGGCAGACCAATCTCTGAAGCTTCCTGGTGTGCTCTGTGGTCTCATGCACCCTTTAAAACTGTATCAGCAGCCGTCAAACTAGCTTCTCAAGTTAGTTTAAGCAATATAAGGTGTCAACGGTGAACTAAGTTATATGAATCTCCCTCTACAGTGAACCTGCAACTTACGCGGGAGTTGTGTTCCAGGGATCACACCTAAAGCCAAAATCACATGAAGCCAAAACACAGGTAGAATTGCCAAAGTCGGACACCTGCCATTCATTCATTTATTGCCAAGCGCATAAAGCTGAATGTGCACAAGTTAAATGTGCCTAAGTTGTGGGCTTACTGTATTAAAAAAAAGAAAGTTGTTTCGCTGCATATGTAGACCAGATGCAACTGGGAGAATTTCTAGAAATTATTTCCCAGATCAGTGAACAAGGCTGATCCCACATCCTAAATTTCCCTGGAATCAATGCGTTTGGCCTGGCATACCGGAATGATTTTACCAAAAGATCTGCGTCTCTGCTGATGAATTCCTCCCCTCATACAAATACATGGAGGATGTGGGCCGTCTGCAGATTTAGAACCATACTGCAAGCCAAATAAAATTCCATATAAAATGTTTGCAATAGGGTAACTTCCAAATATTCTTACCCAAGGCAAATTCTACAAGATCAGACACAAATAAAATACAATAAACTCTGAACAATCCCTGCATTTTTCTATGACATTTTAGAGTTATGACAACGTGGCCAAGAAAGCAAAACAAAAACTCCCATTGCCAGAAAAGGTAGTCTACAAGGGAGAAGTTAATCCAGACACTTGTGTTTCATGGCACATTCATAGTATTTCCATCCCACAAACTCAATTATAGGAAGATGGGCAATTATAGGTGACGCAGATTTGAAGTATTCCGTTGGGCACAGCAAGACTGCACATGTGAAGATTAACCTACACCCCATTCCTCTCTAACAAAAGTGATATACTTTCCTTACCATTGTTGTCTGGCTTGCATAC